CCCCGTTGGGCAGACGGCAGACTCTGGCCGTCTGAGGCGCATCGTAGGCCTGGTGCGTGGTGCCGGAACAGGAGGTACCGGGCTGAGGACACGCATCTCAGGGCTAGTGCGGGGAGAAGCAACAGGGCATGCTGGACCCTGGGGACGCACCGTAGGCCTGATGCGTGGTGCCGGAACTGGAGGTACCGGGCTGAGGACACGCATCTCAGGGCTAGTGCGGGGAGAAGCAACAGGGCATGCTGGACCCTGGGAACGCACATAAGGGCTAGTGCGGAGAGCCGGAACAGGGCATGCTGGACCCTGGGGACTCACATTAAGCCTAGTGCGGAGAGCAGCAACAGGACGCACAGGATTCGGGAGACACACAGGAGGCTTGGGGCGTGGTGTAGGCACTGGTGGGAAAGGGCTGGCGACGCGCACCGTATCCCTGGTGCGAGTGGCCGGAACAGGCCGGGCTGGGCTGGCGAAGCGCACCGTATCCCTGGTGCGAGTGGCCGGAACAGGCCGGGCTGGGCTGGCGAAGCGCACCGTATCCCTGGTGCGAGTGGCCGGAACAGGCCGGGCTGGGCTGGCGAAGCGCACCGTATCCCTGGTGCGAGTGGCCGGAACAGGCCGGGCCGGGCTGGCGAAGCGCACCGTATCCTTGGTGCGAGGGGTCGTAACAGGCCGGACCGTACTGGAGGCACACACCACTGGCTCTACCCCGGGAACTGGAACGGGCCGGACCGGACTGGATACACACCTCAGTCTCTCACGCCGTGCCTCTACATCTCCTTTCCCTACTTTGGCCAGTGACCCCCGTAACCTGGTTGCCTCTTGAATTCGCCCCTTCTCTGCCTCCGTTAGCCCCGTCGTCCAAGCCATGTGCCCCCCCCAAAAAACTTTTTGGGGTTGCCTCTCGTCCTTCCAACGATGATGGCCCTGCTGACGCCGTTGCTCCTCTCGCCGTCGCCTCTCCACCGTTTCGCTCCATGGACGGCGATCCATCCCATCCAGGATCTCCTCCCAAGTCCAGGACCCCTTTCCGTCCAAAATCTCCTCCCATGTCCAGGAAGCCTTTGGAGCTGGGTCCTGTTGCCGCTTGACACGCTGCTTGGTCCTTTGATGGTGGGTTTTTCTGTCACGATCGTCTGAAGAAGCGGACCAATACGCAGCGCGTGGAGTGAACATGATGACTTTATTTAATAAAGCAACCACGAAAAACAACAAATGACGATAGTGAAGTCCTCTGTAACACTGACAGAAACATGGAACAAAAACCCACAAACCAAGGAGAAACCACACAATTTAAATATGGCTCCCAATCAGAGATAACGAGCCGACAGCTGACACTCGTTACCTCCGATTGGGAGTCATATGACTAATCAAGAACAATCACCCAACATAGAAATGAACAACTAGAATCCCCAACATAGAAATACACCCAAACAATGAAAATGAACAACCCTGGCTCAAATAATCAAAGTCCATGGAGCCAGAGTATCACATGCTGGCCCATGTTGACTCCAATGCTTCCCAGTTGTGTCAAGTTAGCTGGATGTCCTTTGGGTAGAGGACCATTCTTGATACACATGGGAAACTGTTGAGCGTGAAAAACCCAGCAGCGTTGCATTTCTTGACACACTCATACCGGTGTGCCTGGCACCTACTACCATACGCCGTTCAAAAGGCACTTAAATCTTTTGTCTTGCCCATTCACCCTCTGAATGGCACACATACACAATCCATGTCTTCTTTAACCTGTCTCCTCCCCTTCATCTACACTGATTGAATTGGATTTAAGTGACAACAATAAGGGATCATAGCTTTCACCTGGATTCCCTTGGTCAGTCTATGACATGGAAAGAGCAGGTGTTCCTAATGTTTTGTACACTCAGTGTATATCAATGTATATTTTACATGCAGATGAGGCTGGTGGGAAGAGCTATAGGAAGACAGGCTCATTGTATTGGCTGGAATGGAATAAATGGAACGGTATCAAACACATCAAAGATATGGAAACCACATTTGATACCGTTCCATTAATTCCATTCCAGCCATTACAATGAGCCTGTCCTCCTATAGCTCCTCCCACCAGCCTCCTCTGTTTAAATGTGATAAAGTAGACAGGTATGTCTGCATCTCTAAATTCTTACTATTATTCATCACCCTTTTCATAAACCCCATATTACTTAGTAATGAGCCATACATTCTCTCTTGGGGCACCATGCAGGTACTGAGAGGGAGTGAGTCTGCTGAATGTGTGTTTGCTCTTACATGACCCCTGTCCCTGACCACTGTGTGTGTGAGTGGCAGCAAGGAAAGGCCAAGGAGAAAGAGCGAGAGAGAAGGAGAACTGCATAGACAGTGTGTGCCTTTCAGTGTGTTTAATTGGTATACATACATTGTTTTCTTATTAAATCCCCCTCCCTGGATATAAAATCAATATGGACACACACACACACACACACACACACACACACACACACACACACACACAGAGTAGCTCTAGTGTGACTGAAGCTGGTATGGTTGCTCAGAGCTCAGAGGTGCCTGCCTGCCTGCCTATATTACCAACAGGCCCAGTAAAGTAGGGATGTGGGAGGAGAGGTAGAGAGAGGAGAAAGAGAGAGAGAGAGAGGAGACGAAGAAGAGAAAAGGAACAGCTCAGAGCCCAGACAGAGAGATAGAGGGAGAGTCACCAGGGAGCAGGCTGAGACAGCAGAGAGCATTCGCTGCACGCTAATCTCATCCGCTCCAAGAGCTTCTCTTCTGCGTTTAGCGAAGGGAACATGCAGGCTTTGGTGGGTGGTGGGAAATGGAATGTCTAGAACAGTACAGCTTCAGATACAGTATGCTATTGAAGTCTGAGGAGTCTTCTGTGTGTGTGTGTGTGTGTGTGTGTGTGTGTGTGTGTGTGTGTGTGTGTGTGTGTGTGTGTGTGTGTGTGTGTGTGTGTGTGTGTGTGTGTGTGTGTGTGTGTGTGTGTGTGTGTGTGTGTGTGTGTGTGTGTGTGTGTGTGTGTGTGTGTGTGTGTGTGTGTGTGTGTGTGTGTGTGTGTGTGAGCGTGCAAGAGCAAAAGGAAGCAATTCAGAGAGTAAAAAGAGTTACAGAAAAAACAAGAGAGAGAGAAATATATAAAGTTGTTGAAATTTCCACATCAACGCGTGGGCCTGCATATTTATAAACACTGCACATACAGATGTAGGATCTTAATTTGAGCCAGTTTGCTAAGGCAGGAAAATAATCCTGCAGCAACAGAAAATTTGAATTATTATGTGGATTATTATTCATTTACATTTTTGTAGGGGTGGATCCATTTTTCGTAAGGGAAAATCAAGTCTGAAATGTAAAAGTGGAAAATATAAACTTCAGAAGGTTTTTTATACCACACTACAAGTTTGACATTTCCTGCATTGCAGTACATTTCTCCGGCAACAGTGTGATCAATTTAAGATCCTCCATCTTGTCTCATTGCTACAACAACTTGTGTTCAACTCAACATGGAAGCCCTTATCTAAATAGAGAGAGTTTGGCCCATTTGGAGGCATGTAGGCTGGGCAGGACAGCTTAGTCTCAGCTCCCCTAATGAACACCCGGGGGTCTGAATGAAACATACAGGACGTAAACACACCATGCTCACCACAGTGGAACACATACAGACTACACTGTAAGCCTTGCAGGTGGCCAGCTGTGTGTGTGGGGGAAGAAGAGGAGAGGGGTGGGGTTTGTGTGAGTGTGTGTGTGGGTGGGTGTACATCCAATAATACCTCATTCAATACCACTGTCTGCTTTTTTATGCTGGGAGTAAAGATTTTCTCAGCTGGCTAGTAATTGCTGCTCCTGCATTTCAGCTTGGAAACAGCTTTTCACCGACAATATTACTAAAACAACCTATTGTGCAGAGAGGGAAAGGAAGAGCTAGAGAGAAATTGGTAGTGTGTTTTGAAAGCTGGGTTAATTCTCCTCCTTAATCCACCATTATATTTTGTCCATGTTGGCGTCTCCTCCATCATGTTTAAAGATTCGACGAGAGCGAGCGAGAGCCTAATCTCACTAAAGTGGTCACCACTCCACTTCATCCACTTTCCTTGTGAGAGAATGACATCTTGAATATACGAGTGCCACTGTGAATCTCATTCCCATTCTTACCCCAATGTGCCACTTCTCTAATGTATTCAGTACAAAACAGTAACACTTTTCTCCAATAACGAGCAGCAAAAAGTCCTCTCGCTTTACTGCTGCTCTCCCAGCCAGAACACAAGTCCACTGCAAAGTAAATACAGGAATTAATAAGGTGCCTAGGTGGGCGACAAGGACAAAGTCTTGTTTGGGTGTGAAAAATCCATAACGCTTCATATTGTAGGGGCCGTGCCTCTCCGGGTTCTCGCCCTGTGCCGAGCTCCCAGCTCTCTGATTTAATTTGGTAATCGATATGGTTTCGGTGAGTAGCCGGTAATCGTTTTACAGCATCTCCTGTCCTCTGCTTTCCACTGCTCTCTGCCCTTGAGTTTCCTCTGCAGTCCTGGGGTAAAAGGAGGCGGTGATTGCCTCTAACGGGCTCTGCGGTTAGGGGGAAAGCTCTCCTGAAAGTCAACTAGAAGGGGAGATGGAGAGGGGGGTAGAGAGGGGAAGATACTCCTCTTCGCTCCACACACAGTAGACAGTACTCCATACAGAATACATGAAAGTGAGAGCGAAACAGAGAGCAAGAGACCGAGGGAAGAAATGAAAAAGTTAAGTAAAAGAGAAGCTGACCTCTATGAAAGAGGATTATAGTTGTCTTTCTGTGTGTCTATCTGTAATATTCAGCACAATAGCACAATATGGCCATGAGTATTGCATGAACTGCATCACAACACTCACTTGTGTTTTTCAGTCTGAAACTGGAAGGTCAGATTTAAAGAAGGGTCAATGCATTGGAGAAGTAGAAATAATAATTTATAGGTTAGAGAAGTAGACTGGATTGTGGCATTGGATTTACCTCTCCCTCCTTCCTTCTCTCTCACTCCTTTTCCAGCAGAGAGAGAAACAGAAGTGAAGTGGATTCCGTGGCGGAGCTTCTCTCCCTGCAGCTACAGTACCTGTCCTGTTCCCAGTCTGTATCTCTCTCTCCTTCCTTCCTTTAGAGGGTAGCCAACCGGCAAACTCTCTCACACTTCACCAGAGTCAGTCAATTCCCCCATACTACTGCAGCCAGGCAGTGGTCTCTTTTGGAGACTGCCCCTACTTATACCTCTACAGTATCACACTGCAATTGATCATCCTTATATGCTGTTGAGATACCTGATCCAACCAGCGAGTTGTAGTACCCTGAGTTTTTTTTGAACTGACCAGGAAAACCCCACAACATTCCCAAGCCATTTCATTTATCACTCTTAAACTGTATCTATTAGCTTCAACTGTGAACATTCAAATTATTTAAAGCCTCCGTAATCCTTCCAGCAGTCCTTGTCGTGCAAAGCAACATTATGTTGCTGCTTGATAACCCAGACATTGTCATGAGAGACATTGCCAGCTCTAGGCATAAGCGACATAAGCAGTTGCTTAGGGCCCCCGGCCGATATGGGGCCCCTGACCCACAGTCACTCAATTAGCCCATGTCAGCTAACATTTTCTGGATTGGTAAATTAGTCTAGCCAGCTATCTAAACTTGTAGTAATCATGGTCGAATTATCAACCGGGCACGAAGGGCACGTGCCCAGGGGCCCTGACCTCCAGTGGGCCCCCATTGATTTTGTTAGTCACTTTTACTCAGATATCATATTAACATGGCATGAGTCATTGCAAAATGTGTATAATTGCAGGAAATTAACAGTAACCGCACATTTGTCTCTCCGCCCCATGGCAAAATGTGTAGAATTGCAGCAAACTTGCTTTAAAACTTAAACATTTTCTCTGCACCCCATCAAAAGGGGGGCCACTAAAATGTTTTGCCTGCGAGCTGGGGGGGCCCCCCAACAAAATGACGCTTACGGCCCCCAAAAGGCTAGGGCTGGCCCTGATGAGAGAATATGAAGGTGTTGTTTAATCTGAAAATCTCTCTCCATCTCTACATGCAGTGTTCGTTGTCTTGCACTGTGTCTATGGCTATCAGGTCGCACCACCTGTCCCTCTCTGTTGGAGCGTCTGAAACACAGTGGAGAGAAGGGATGATGAATGATGAGATAAGCCACGTTGTCGCACCAGGCACTCTGATGGAGGAGATGAAAACCCAACAGTGTCTCACAGGGCTGACCTATTTTCTCTCTCTCTCTCTCTCTCTCTCTCTCTCGCTCTCTCTCTCTCTCTCTCTCTCTCTCTCTCTCTCTCTCTCTCTCTCTCGCTCTCTCTCTCTCTCTCTCTCTCTCTCTCTCTCAGGGACAACAACTTCATCAAGGACTTCCCCCAGCTAGCAGATGGACTGATGGTTATACCGTTACCTGTGGAGGAGCAGTGTAGAGGAGTGCTGTCTGAGCCACTGTCCAATGTACAGCTCCTCACAGGTGTGTGTTTGTGTGTGTGTGTGCACATGTGCTAGCCTGCCTCATCCATCTTTGTATACTCATACCAGTGTGTACAGAAAATATCCTGTATGTAACCTATATTTCATAATCAAATATCCATATTTATTCTCATATGTTCCTTCCAAAGAATGTATAAGTATCTACTTTGTCCAGGATTTACAGTATTTTCCAATTACGGCTGAATTTCCTGTAAGCTCAATACTTAGAAATCCTGCAGCATTCTCTGCTCAGTAAATCCATAGAAGTGACATCAGAGTGCAGGGTCAGCTAGAATGACACTGCTCCCTGTGCACTGTATTGTGCTATTGTTCCTGACATCCCTACGTCTCTGCAGTAGGCACACACACACACATACACACATGCATATGAACATACACACACCTCTCCAGGCCCTCTAAAGGCTGACACCTGCACCTTCTTCACCCTATGTTCCCTTCCTATGTCCCCTGTGGGGGCCGAGACTACTCTGTCAGTTGGCTTGATACCGCACCTCAGGACTACTCCCTAATCCGTCCATTAGCTGAATTGGCTGCAGCACTTTGCTCTCCGTTGGCCTGTGACTAGTTCCCAGGAGTGTCTGCTACTCCTCTCCAAACACCACTGGGAATAAATAAGTGCTTTAGGTTTAAGGGAGGATTTAGTTGTTGTTGTTCTCTTCGCTCCTGTGTTCTAATGGCCCTGTGTTGTGCCAGACTCATATGAAAGTTTGGTAATGCAATTACGGAGGCAAGATTGCTCTTGCCTTAATGCTGGAAATTCAATTGGAGCTATTGCGGCCGTCCGCCAGTGATTGCACACTGGGTGGGAACTTTCGTACTAAGACAAATGGTGTTGTTGAAAACAACAGAATGTACACTGTACACGGACAGTGTTTGTGTGAGAGAGACAAAGCTAGCTAATACACTTCAGGCAGTTACAAATGTGCTTGTATAACTCAAACTTCGACACAAATGATCCATAGCTTTCAATGCATGATTAATGTGAAATGTTGAGTTATTTACTCAAATCTTATGAAAAAATGTGGGCCTACTGATATTGTGGAAGTTATTCATAACTATGTTTATGTGTGTATGTCCATTGCAGGTGATGCCAAGTTCAATGAGGCTATGGGCTACCCCATGGTTCAGCAGTGGAGAGTGAGGAGCAACCTGTACAAAGTCAAGCTCAGTGCCATCACCTTGTCTACAGGTATGGAGCAGACCTGGGTTCAAATACTATTTCAAATATCTTTCACATACATTTCGAAGTAAGTATTTAGATATTTTTTATTTGAAAGGACAAGTAGTTGAATGTTGGAATGTATTTGGAAATACACTTGGAAAGTATTGGTATGTACTGTATTTGAAAGTACTCAAATACACTGACTCAAATATATGCCATTTAGTAGACGCTTTTATCCAAAGCGACTTAGTCATGCATGCATACATGTGTGCATACATACATCAAATACACTCCCATGCATTTAACCCAAGTATTTGAAAATAATATTTGAAATAAGTAGGCTATTTATAGGAAATTATTTTAAAATACTTTCAAATAGAAGTAGTTGATTCAGGCCACATTATTTGAAAATACTTAAGTACACAGAAAATAAGTATTTACAGTGCCTTCAGAATGTATTCATACCCCTTGACTTATTCCACATTTTGTTGTGTTACAGCCTGAATTCAAAGTGGATTAAATACTTTTTTTTTTCACCCATCTACAGACAATACCCCATAATGACAAAGTGAAAACATGTTTTTAAAAATGTTTGCAAATTTATTGAAAATGAAATACAGAAATATCTACATAAGTATTCACACCCCTGAGTCAATACATGTTAGAATCACCTTTGGCAGCGATTACAGCTGTGAATCTTTCTGGGTAAGTCTCTAAGAGCTTTGCACACCTGGATTGTAAAATGTTTGCAAATAATGATTTAAAAAAATTATTCAAGCTCTGTCAAGTTGGTTGTTGATCATTGCTAGACAGCCATTTTCAAGTCTTGCCATAGATTTTCAAGCCGATTTAAGTCAGAACTGTAACTAGGCCACTCAGGAACATTCAATGTTGTCTTGGTAAGCAACGCTGGTGTATATTTGGCCTTGTGTTTTAGGTTATTGTCCTGCTGAAAGGTGAATTTGTCTCCCAGTGTCTGTTAGAAAGCAGACTGAACCAGGTTTTCCTCTAGGATTTTGCCTGTGCTTAGTTCTATTCCGTTTCTTTTTATCCAGAAAAACTCCCCAGTCCTTGTCGATGACAAGCATACCCATAAAATCATGCTTGAAAATATGGAACGTGGTACTCAGTGATGTGTTGTTAGATTTGCCCCAAACATAACTATTTGTATTCAGGACATAAAGTTAATTACTTTGCCACATTTGTAGCAGTTTTACTTTAGTGCCTTATTGCAAACAGGATGCATGTTTTGGAATATGTTTTTTTCTGTACAGGCTTCCTTCTTTTCACTCTGTCATTTAGGTTACTATTATGGAGTAACTACAATGTTGTTGAGCCATCCTAAATGTTCTCCTATCACAACCAATAAACTCTGTAACTGTTTTAAAGTCACCATTGGCCTCATTGTGAAATCCCTGAGTGGTTTCGTTCCTCTCTGGCAACTGAGTTAGGAAAGAAGCCTGTATCTTTGTAGTGACTGGGTGTATTGATACACCATCCAAAGTGTAATTAATAACTTCACCATGCTCAAATGGATATTCAATGTCTGCTTTTTAAATGTTTTACCCATCTACCAATAGGTGCCCTTCTTTGCGAGGCACTGGAAAACCTCCCTGGTATTTGTGGTTGAATCTGTGTTTGAAAGTAACTGTTCAACTGAGGGACCTTACAGATACAGTGCCTTGCAAAAGTATTCATCCCCCTTGGCGTTTTTCCTATTTTGTTGCATTACAACCTGTAATTTAAAATGGATTTTTATTTGGATTTCATGTAAATGACATACACAAAATAGTTCAAATTGGTGAAGTGAAATGAAAAAAATAACTTGTTTCAAAAAAGTCTCAAAAATGAATAACGGAAAAGTGGTGCGTGCATATGTATTCACCCACTTTGCTATGAAGCCCCTAAATAAGATCTGGTGCAACCAATTACCTTCAGAAGTCACATAATTAGTTAAAGTCCACCTGTGTGAAATCTAAGTGTCACATGATCTGCCACATGATCTCAGTATATAGACTGATCATTTCTTTGTCAGTGGGCAAACGTATAAAATCAGCAGGGGATCAAAAACTTTTTTTTCCCCTCACTATATATATATAGTGAGGGGAAAAAAAAGTATTTGATCCCCTGCTGATTTTGTACGTTTGCCCACTGACAAAGAAATGATCAGTCTATAATTTTAATGGTAGGTTTATATGAACAGTGAGAGACAGGATAACAACAACAAAATCCAGAAAAACGCATGTAAAAAATGTTATAAATTGATTTGCATTTTAATGAGGGAAATAAGTATTTGACCCCCTCTCAATCAGAAAGATGTCTGGCTCCCAGGTGTCTTTTATACAGGTAACAAGCTGTGTGTTCACAGAAGCAATCAATCAAATAGATTCCAAACTCTCCACCATGGCCAAGACCAAAGAGCTCTCCAAGGATGTCAGGGACAAGATTGTAGACCTACACAAGGCTGGAATGGGCTACAAGACCATCGCCAAGCAGCTTGGTGAGAAGGTGACAACAGTTGGTGTGATTATTCGCAAATGGAAGAAACACAAAATAACTGTCAATCTCCCTCGGCCTGGGGCTCCATGCAAGATCTCACCTCGTGGAGTTGCAATGATCATGAGAACGGTGAGGAATCAGCCCAGAACTACACGGGAGGATCTTGTCAATGATCTCAAGGCAGCTGGGACCATAGTCACCAAGAAAACAATTGGTAACACACTACGCCGTGAAGGACTGAAATCCTGCAGCGCCCGCAAGGTCCCCCTGCTCAAGAAAGCACATATACAGGCCCGTCTGAAGTTTGCCAATGAACATCTGAATGATTCACAGGAGAACTGGGTGAAAGTGTTGTGGTCAGATGAGACCAAAATCGAGCTCTTTGTCATCAACTCAACTCGCCGTGTTTGGAGGAGGAGGAATGCTGCCTATGACCCCAAGAACACCATCCCCACCGTCAAACATGGAGGTGGAAACATTATGCTTTGGGGGTGTTTTTCTGCTAAGGGGACAGGACAACTTCACCGCATCAAAGGAACGATGGACGGGCCATGTACCGTCAAATCTTGGGTGAGAACCTCCTTCCCTCAGCCAGGGCATTGAAAATGGGTCGTGGATGGGTATTCCAGCATGACAATGACCCAAAACACACGGCCAAAGCAACAAAGGAGTGGCTCAAGAAGAAGCACATTAAGGTCCTGGAGTGGCCTAGCCAGTCTCCAGACCTTAATCCCATAGAACATCTGTGGAGGGAGCTGAAGGTTCGAGTTGCCAAACGTCAACCTCGAAACCTTAATGACTTGGAGAAGATCTGCAAAGAGAAGTGGGACAAAATCCCTCCTGAGATGTGTGCAAACCTGGTGGCCAACTACAAGAAACGTCTGACCTCTGTGATTGCAAACAAGGGTTTTGCCATCAAGTACTAAGTCATGTTATGCAGAGGGGTCAAATACTTATTTCCCTCATTAAAATACATTTTTTACATGCGTTTCTTCTGGATTTATTTGTTGTTATTCTGTCTCTCACTGTTCAAATAAACCTACCATTAAAATTATATACTGATCATGTCTTTGTCAGTGGGCAAACGTACAAAATCAGCAGGGGATCAACATTTTTTTTCCCTCACTGTATATATATATATATACACACACACACACACACACACACACACACACACACACACACACACACACACACACACCTGTTCTGAAAGGCCCCAGAGTCTGCAAACACCACTAAAGCAAGTGGCACCACCAAGCAAGCAGCACCTCGAAGACCAAGGAGCTCTCCAAACAGGTCAGGGACAAAGTTGTGGAGAAGTACAGATCAGGGTTGGGTTATAAAAAAATTCAGAAACTTTTAACATCCCAAGGAGCACCATTAAAACCATTATTAAAAAATGGAAAGAATATGGCACCACAACAAACCTGCCAAGAGAGGGCCGCCCACCAAAACTCACGGACCAGGCAAGGAGGGCATTAATCAGAGAGGCAACAAAGAGACCAAAGATAACCCTGAAGGAGCTGCAAAGCTCCACAGCGGAGATTGGAGTATCTGTCCATAGGACCACTTTAAGCCGTACACTCCACAGAGCTGGGCTTTACGGCAGAGTGGCCAGAAAAAAGCCATTGCTTAAAGAAAAAAATGAGCAAACACGTTTGGTGTTCGCCAAAAGCCATGTGGGAGACTCCCCAAACATATGGAAGGTACTAAAATTGAGCTTTTTGGCCATCAAGGAAAACGCTATGTCTGACGCAAACCCAACACCTCTCATCACCCCGAGAACACCATCCTCACAGTGAAGCATTGTGGTGGCAGCATCATACTGTGGGGATGTTTTTCATCGGCAGGGACTGGGAAACTGGTCAGAATTGAAGGAATGATGGATGGCGCTAAATACAGGGAAATTATTTTCAGTCTTCCAGAGATTTGAGACTGGGACAGAGGTTCACCTTCCAGCAGGACAATGACCCTGAGCATACTGCTAAAGCAACACTTGAGTGGTTTAAGGGGAAACATTTAAATGTCTTGGAATGGCCTAGTCAAAGCCCAGACCTCAATCCAATTGAAAATCTGTGGTATGACTTAAAGATTGCTGTACACCAGCAGAACCCATCCAACTTGAAGGAGCTGGAGCAGTTTTGCCTTGAAGAATGGACAAAAATCCCAGTGGCTAGATGTGCCAAGCTTATAGAGACATACCCCAATAGACTTGCAGCTGTAATTGCTGCAAAAGGTGGCTCTACAAAATATTTGCTTTGGGGGGGGGGGGGGCATGTTGTGTAAATCAAATGATACAAACCCCCAAAAAATCAATTTCAATTCCAGGTTGTAAGGCAACAAAATAGGAGAGATGCCAAGGGGGTGAATACTTTCGCAAGACACTGTAATTGTGTGGGGGGTACAGAGATGAGGTAGTCATTCAAAAATCATGTTAAACACTATTATTGCAACTTATTATGTGACTTGTTAAGCAAATGTTTACTCCTGAACTTATTTAGGGTTGCCATAACAAAGGGGTTGAAAACTTAGACTCAAGACATTCCAGCTTTTCATTTCTTATTAATTTGTAAAAATTTAGAAAAACATAATTCCACTTTGACATTATGGGGTATTGTGTGTAGGCCAGTGACCCAAAATGTCCATTTAATTCATTTTCAATTCAGGCTGCAATACAACAAAATCTGGAAAAAATCTAAGGGTGTGAATACTTTCTGAAGGTACCGTAAATAACAAATAATCAAATACACATGTATTTGAACCCAGGTCTGGTATGGAGTGTCAATTTACTGTCATGTTTCCTGGTGAGCCTATTTCACTAGTTTACTACTACTACACTATATCATATTGTACTGAAAACTCAGAGGGAAAACACATACAGGATAGCATTTACCGCAGTTACAAAGCCCCTTTTTTGCTTCAGCTATAACTACAATTCCATGTGTTCCACATTATTTCCCCTCCACACTTTCCTGGTTGTCAGGCTTCTCCAAGGTTCTGAAGACACTGACTGCAGAGAGCACCAGAGAGGAGCTGCTGTCCTTCATCCAGCAATACGGCAACCATTACGTGTCTGAGGCCCTTTACGGCTCCGAGCTCAGCTGCACCATCTACTTCCCCAGCAAGAAGGCCCAGCAGCAGCTCTGGCTGCAGTACCAGAAAGGTGAGCAGGAAACTACATATGATGCAGGTGTCTGAAATACTATTGTAATCAGTGACCAATTTAGACCCAGGGATACAGTTGAGTGGACTATCAATATACTTAATTGGTCAATTAAATCCCAGAGAAAAGTGAAAAAATTGGGCTTATTCAATATGGTGCAATGTTCAGGACGCTGCAGATAGAAATACGATTCATAGCAGGACAGACATGATTCCTAGTTTTTAACTGGCCCTAGCCCCTGAGAATAGCCTCTCGGAAATACTTCAGTAGGATTTCATAATTAATTTAATTTCATAAACATTAGGCAAGACCTGAAAGAGCTTTTGTACTGTACTATGCAGCCCCACTGAGACCTTCAAAATGGAATTGGACAGAAAGGGTGAGGGCTGTGGATATCATGAAAAGAACGTTTCATATTTTACCAAATACATGGGTTCAAAGTATGTACTGTAAACACCGGAATACAAAGACACATGCCTTGAATCATTTCTTATGAAAATACATTCCTTTCCTGCACTGCAGATATTACCAAAGTATTTACCAAAGGTATAGTACAAAGTGTTATTACTTTTCTAAATGTTTACATTCCAACTAAGTCAGTGTTCTTCCTACAATGTAAATTCCTGCCTGGAAGATTCTCCACAGAGAATCTGAAACCACAACATGCACATCTTCATTCATGTTGGGTTTATTGCACTCAATAGATAATCAACATTACAAACATGAAATTGAGACTCACGTTACACAAAAACACATATAATGCGATAGTAACACATACTGTAAAGTCACTGCCTCCACCAAAGGCAAAACTTCTGAAAAGACACATGGGTTGGTTCAACACACGCATACAGAAACAGAACATCCAGAAGACCCAGTAGTATAAAATAACCCACAAACTCAGAGGAAATAGGCTATTACATGTAGGCTTAAAAAAATTAGGGCTGTCCGAGTTAATCAGTTAAAGGCCCAGTGCAGTCAAAATGCATTTTTTCCCTTTGTTTTGCATCATACTGTACAACAGCTGATGAATTATGTCCTGTGTTATTTCCTGATAGTTGCAGGTTGAAAATACAATCTACACAGGACCTTCTAATCAGCAGGTTTACATTGGCGGGAGTTTTGGCCATAGAGATGGAAAGAGGCCTCATCATTGTATCCATACCATTATGGCATCTGTGACAGCATGGGCATTGCCATTGAGGCTATCTCCATTTTGATGTAGTCTCCAACAGGGTCACAAGGAGGGATCAGCCAATGAAGTTGGAAGTCCCACCCAGTTGACAACATTAAAATGGTGTAAGTCCATGCTGCCCATGCTAAAACAGAATTTTGGCCACTAGAGGCCTCTATCATTCTCTGTGTGTCTGCTTTCCAATGGTGACATCACCTTGCGGAAATCCGTTAATATAGAGTCCCCCAAAAAATTAAAAGGTATATTTACCCATTTTAATGTAAATCTTACAGTAAGGTCCTTATTTGTTAACCAGAAATTACTTGATATATAGATATAAAAGGCTTGTTTGGGCCTTTAACCAGAGGTAACTTTTTGTAGTTTAATTGCACACTTTCTTTCTTTGCACGATTAAATCACATTGTTTGAAAGCGTTTAAAATACACTGAAAATATCCCAAATAAATAATCTACACAGCTAAAAAACAACATTGCAATGTCAAAACAAGTTGACATTGAGGTTAAAGAAAGTGTGCTTCATTCATTTACCAGATTCTGCTTACCGTTACTTTGGACAAAATCAAGACCGATATTCTTGTAATGCTTTTGGTATAAAACATCTTAATTACAGCTCAATTTGAGCAATTTCAAATGTTTGTGATTAATCCCAGCAAATCCTGAGATTAACTTTATTTCAAAAATTTATTAATTTCACATCCCTAAAATAAATACATCTCTCCTCCAGTTAAGTGGAGTGAACAATAAAATCACCATTCAAACAGAGAGCAAGTCTTGTTATTCATCACATTGAAACAAGGACACTTGATTTTTCTAGCATTTTATGCATTTTTATATTGTAAATAATGTAATAGTTCGTTTTGGAATATCTGTAGTGATATGTCAGTTATGCATGGAATAACTATAATGATCATTTGAGAAATAATTTTGTAGTGACAGACAGACTATTGCGGTGACAAGGTTAGCATGTTGCCTAACATGATACCCTGAATTTATTGAGAAATATTGGGATTTATAAACTTTGAACACGCCTTACATACGCATGTTTCCTGTTATAAATCAGACCCGTGTTGAAACTGCGCGTTGAACGAGCATCATAACTCCACCTGAAAAACACCCATCATTCACCTTTTATGGTGACAATAACACCCTTATTTGCTGTATACTTTGGAAGTATTGGAATTACGCCAAGGAAGTTTCTAAAGGAAATAGCAATGACGAACTTGATCAAATGTCTCTGGAGGTGTTGGTAGAATGTTTTAAACTTTTACAGTGACATTTTCTGTATCTGACAGTATCTGAAATAAATGAATAATTGCAAATTGTTATAAACCTGTAGATCATTTGACTTCAATATTACATTGTGTTTACTTTTTCCCAAACTTAAATATCAAATCAAATTGTATTTGTCACATATACGTGTTTAGCAGATGTTATTGCGGGTGTAGCGAAATACTTGTGCTTCTAGCTCCGACAGTGCAGTAATATCTAACAAGTAATATCTAACAATTTCACAACATATACCCAATACACACAAATCTAAGTAAGGAATGGAATTAAGAATATATACATATATGGATGAGCAATGACAGAGCGGCATGGACTAAGATACAGTAGAATAGTATACAATACAGTATATACAGTGGGGAGAACAAGTATTTGATACACTACCGATTTTGCAGGTTTTCCTACTACAAAGCATGTAGAGGTCTGTAATTTTTTATCATAGGCACACTTCAACTGTGAGAGACGGAATCTAAAACAAAAATCCAGAAATTCACATTGTATGATTTTTAAGTAATTTATTTGCATTTTATTGCATGACATAAGTATTTGATACATCAGAAAAGCAGAACTTAATATTTGGTACAGAAACCTTTGTTTGCAATTACAGAGATCATACGTTTCCTGTAGGTCTTGACCAGGTTTGCACACACTGCAGCAGGCATTTTGGCCCACTCCTCCATACAGACCTTCTCCAGATCCTTCAGGTTTCGGGGCTGTCACTGGGCAATACAGACTTTCAGCTCCCTCCAAAGATTTTCTATTGGGTTCAGGTCTGGAGACTGGCTAGGCCACTCCAGGACCTTGAGATGCTTCTTACGGAGCCACTCCTTAGTTGCCCTGGCTGTGTGTTTCGGGTCGTTGTCATGCTGGAAGACCCAGCCACGACCCATCTTCAATGCTCTTACTGAGGGAAGGAGGTTGTTGGCAAAGATCTTGCGATACATGGCCCCATCCATCCTCCCCTCAATACGGTGCAGTCGTCCTGTCCCCTTTGCAGAAAAGCATCCCCAAAGAATTGTGTTTCCACCTCCATGCTTCACGGTTGGGATGGTGTTCTTGGGGTTGTACTCATCCTTCTTCTTCCTCCAAACACGGCGAGTGGAGTTTAGACCAAAAAGCTCTGTTTTTGTCTCATCAGACCACATGACCTTCTCCCATTCCTCCTCTGGATCATCCAGATGGTCATTGGCAAACTTCAGACGGGCCTGGACATGCGCTGGCTTGAGCAGGGGGACCTTGCGTGCGCTGCAGGATTTTAATCCATGACGGCGTAGTGTGTTACTAATGGTTTTCTTTGAGACTGTGGTCCCAGCTCTCTTCAGGTCATTGACCAGGTCCTGCCGTGTAGTTCTGGGCGGATCCCTCACCTTCCTCATGATCATTGATGCCCCACGAGGTGAGATCTTGCAAGGAGCCCCAGACCGAGGGTGATTGACCGTCATCTTGAACTTTTTCCATTTTCTAATAATTGCGCCAACAGTTGTTGCCTTCTCACCAAGCTGCTTGCCTATTGTCCTGTATTCCATCCCAGTCTTGTGCAGGTCTACAATTGTATCCCTGATGTCCTTACACAGCTCTCTGGTCTTGGCCATTGTGGAGAGGTTGGAGTCTGGTTGATTGAGTGTGTGGACAGGTGTCTTTTATACAGGTAACGAGTTCAAACAGGTGCAGTTAATACAGGTAATGAGTGGAGAACAGGAGGGCTTCTTAAAGAAAAACAAACAGGTCTGTGAGAGCCGGAATTCTTACTGGTTGGTAGGTGATCAAATACGTATGTCATGCAATAAAATGCAAATTAATTACTTAAAAATCATACAATGTGATTTTCTGGATTTTTGTTTTAGATTCAGTCTCTCGCAGTTGAAGTGTACCTATGATAAAAATTACAGACCTCTACATGCTTTGTAGTAGGAAAACCTGCAAAATTGGCAGTGTATCAAATACTTGTTCTCCCCACTGTACATTTGAGATGAGTAATGCAAGATATGTAAACATTATTAAAGTGACTAGTGTTCCATTTCTTAAAGTGGCCAGTGATTTCTAGTCTATGTCTATAGGCAGCAGCCTCTAATGTGCTAGTGATGGCTGTTTAACAGTCTGATGGCCTTGAGATAAAAGCTGTTTTTCAGTCTCTCGGTCCCAGCTTTGATGCACCTGTACTGACCTCACCTTCTGGATGATAGCGAGGTTAACAGGCAGTGGCTCGGGTGGTTGATGTCCTTGATTAACTTTTTGGCCTTCCTGTGACATCGGGTGCTATAGGTGTCCTGGAGGGCGGGTAGTTTGCCCCCGGTAATGCATTGGGCAGACCACACCACCCTCTGGAGAGCGCTGCGGTTGAGGCGGTGCAGTTGCCGTACCAGGCGGTGATACAGCCTGACAGGATTATCTCAATTGTGCATCTGTAAAAGTTTGTGAGGGTTTTAGGTGCCAAGCCAAATTTCTTCAGCCTCCTGAGGTTGAAGAGGCTCTGTTTCGCCTTCTTCACCACACTGTCTGTGTGGGTGGACCATTTCAGTTTGTCAGTGATGTGTACGCCAAGGAACTTGAAGCTTTTTACCTTCTCTACTGCGGTCCCGTCGATGTGGATAGGGGGGTGCACCCTCTGCTGTTTCCTGAAGTCCACGATCATCTCCTTTGTTTTGTTGATGTTGAGTGAGAAGTTATTTTCCTGGCACCACACTCCCAGAGCACTCTCCTCCTCCCTGTAGGCTGTCTCGTCATTGTTTGTAATCAAGCCTACTACTGTTGTGTCGTCTGCAAACTTGATGATTGAGTTGGAGGCGTGTTTGGCCACGCAGTCATGGGTGAACAGGGAGTACAGGAGTGGGCTGAGCACGCACCCTTGTGGGGCCCAAGTGTTGAGGATCAGCGAAGAGGAGGTGTTGTTTCCTACCTTCACCACCTGGGGGCGGCCCGTCAGGAAGTCCAGGACCCAGTTGCACAGGCCGGGGTTCAGACCCAGGGCCTCGAGCTTAATGATGAGCTTGGAGGGTACTATGGTGTTGAATGCTGAGCTATATATAGTCAATGAACAGCATTCTTACATAGGTATTCCTCTTGTCCAGATGTGATAGGGAGGTGTGCAGTGTGATGGTGATTGCATCATCTGTGGATCTATTACATTTACATTTCAGTCATTTAGCAGACGCTCTTATCCAGAGCTTGGGGCGGTAAGCAAATTGAAGTGGGTCTAGGGTGACAGGTAAGGTAGAGGTGATATGATCCTTGACTAGTCTCTCAAAGCACTTCATATGCTGCACTGCCCACAAATTCTGAAACATTGAGTAAAAATGTAAAACTACAGTAGGCCTACTTACAGTGGTAGCCTACACATTTGACATTACAGTAGGCTGTTCAGATGTACAGTAGCCTAAAAAAAAATTCTAATGGAAAAGGTGAAACATCTGTTCTAGCGTTAAACTGCACTCCGGATCACATAGAGCAAAATACTTGAAATAACTTATCTATTTACTACTGTGAAATGGGTCCAATTTAAAAAGAGATCAGACATAGGCAACAAGCTATTTCGCGAGTATGAAACCATCAGTCAGAAAAGGTGAGTTATTTATTCTACAACGATCATGGAAATGAAATAAATAATAGGAAATAGATGCCTACTTCTAACTATTTCAGAATACAAAAAATGGATTTACGCGCTTCTCGCTAACGGCAAACGATTGCACCTTATTATATTTAGGCCTACCCGTTTCTTTGTTAGGAATAAGCATGCCATATACCCTATTTGCACAAAATACTTGCCTACTTGCGTGCTTGCAATGCAATACTTCAACCACTAGAAACTGTGCGTACACATGGTTGAAAGTTATTTTCCCCCCACTAAATTGTTAAAGTTAGCCTTGAGGGAGGGTAAACTGATCCTAGAGCTGTGTGTCTACAGGCAACTGGACCTGAACCCCTCGGGGTACAACACAATACTTTTTATTGGATGGCTGGGTTATAATGATCAAGTCCATGATCCCATCCCTATAGATTTAAGTTAGAGAGGTTTTGGATTAGACATTCCTTCTAAATCGATAAGGCAATTCTTTTTTGCAATACATTTTCTTGTGATGCCATTAGGCTTAGTAATTGTCATAAATCTCATAGTGTACAGCTGTGACGATACCAGTATAACATTTTAAAAAATCCAATGGCAAAAATACAAAAACGAAGCAGACCAAACTCTTTGGTCCTTTAACCTGCTGCATGAAAAATATTGTGTGCTATAGATTGGAAAATAAATACATATGACCCGATGACAACATAATGATGTTTGTTTCCAACAATAGGGCTGTTTTCCCAAATAAGTTAAATTTGCGTCGTATTTTGTGTCCTTGCCACGAAACTAACGAGTATCGCAATACTGGTATCATCCCTGCCCTAATATTTTGTACAGTACAGCAGTTAAAATATAACAATTTCATGCATTGATTGACATACCAATTTCCCCCACCCCCAAGGTGACAACACTTAATGCCGTCTTTAGTGCTGTGTTCCATCAAATCAACGAGGCAGCTCGAATTGTAGATAGACACAGGCTTGGTTACAGTGTGCTCCTAGCTAGTCCCACTGACTGACTGGGGATCAGTGACTCGATTACGGGCTCATTATATGACCTGCTAAGCACAGACTAGAAACCAGATCATGGAGGAGCAAAAGTTGTTTGGAATGCAGCCATTTATATTAAAGTGACAGATCAACTGTTTCTCTCACACACACACACAACATTGGATTTGTAGTTTTTTAGCACCTAGCAGGTGGAGAAGCGTCTCCTCTGTAGGTACGAGTAAACTTTCACACAGTGGTCCCAGCAGTCCAGCACCATCAGCTGTCCTTTCTCAGTGACGGCCACGCCCACAGGGCACGTCAGTCCCTCCTGGATGAGCACGTTAAAGCCGCCCTCTTTGGGGAACTGCAGGATCTCCTTCCTGCCGCTGTCTGTCACGAGCAGGTCCCCGTTGGTATCCACGCACATGCCCGTGATGCAACGGAAGTCCTCCGTCTCCGAGAAGAAGTGGCTGAGTTGCTTGCCCAGCTGGCCGTCTGTCCCCACTGAGCAGATGGAGAAGCCCCCCTCCAGGTGGTGCTCGTTATGGCGGTTCTCAATGTTAAGGCCCAACCCTTGGGTGAAGTAGACGGTGCCCGATGCGTCGCACGTCACGAACTTGGGCCGCACGGCCGAGCACAGGCGGTTGTAGTTGACTACGCCCACATTGCGGTCCACGGCCAGGCACCAGAGCTTGCCGCCCTCCACATCCGACACCACAAACTGACCCGTGGGCATGGCGGCAATGCCCCAGGGTTTGATTAGCTGGTTCTTGTGGCAGGCCACGCAGTGGCCGTCGATGGTGTACACCTTGACCGAGTTGTCGTAGTTGTCAGTGACCCCGATAAGGCCCTGAGGAGTGATGGCGATGGACAGCGGGATGAGGTTGGGCAGGTCGGCGCCCAGGAAGCTCAGGACAAAGTTGTCGATGCTGCTGGGGTTGCGGCGGATCTCCCTCTGGAAGCCCTTGCGGTTGAAGATCTGGATGCGGTAGTTGCCCCGGTCGGCCACCAGGACCTCGCCCTGCGGGGTGACGCAGATACTAACCGGTAGGTTGAACATCCCCGGCAGGTTGCCCTTGCAGCCCATCTTCTTTACAAACTGGCAGTGCTGTGGCCCCGAGCTGGCCCTGGCCCCTGCACCACCGGGCGAGGAGGACTCCCCTTCATCCATGGACTTGGACTTAAAGCTGCCCGGTGATGCACACACAGCCTCTTCTACAGACATTACCATATCAATGTCTCTAAACAGTTCCAGTGGGGCCCCTGCAGCCCTGCACATGGCACCAACGCCAGCCCCGGCTCTAAACTCCAGCAGCCCCTCCTCATCAGTGTTGACAGTGCAGGGCTTGGTTGTGAGCTGGGCCACATCCAGGGCCTCGGGGTGTTCTGTCGTCACCAGCTCAGGGTCCTGAAGCTTGAGCAGCGTAGGTAAGTCCAGGCTGCTCCTCAGGTCCAGCTCCTCATCGTTTCCCCCTCCGTCCTCCTCCAGCAGGGCGATGTCGCTCTGCTTCACCCGCATGGTGAGGTAGTCGCATCGGGACACCACCTTCACCTCGGCCAGGTTCAGCAGGTATGTCTGCTCCTCCAGGATCTGCCCGTTCAGCTTCTCCACCTCAGCCATAGAGGCAGCGAAGGCCTGCCGCTGGTGCCCCAGCTCCTCCTGCAGACGCAGCTCAGCCTGGGCGTACTCCTGCTGCACAGCCCGGTACTTCACCCGCATGTTCTTTGTCACACTGTCAACCGTCGCCTTTTTCTGCTGGATGTGGTCCATGGCTTTGCGGAGGGACGCCAGTTTACCGCCCAGGTCCTTCCGGTGGTGCTCAGCGGCCACCCGGATGGGCTGGACGGCGTGACCCTGCTGCTGGTGGCCCTCACCCTTGCAGAGATCACAGAGCACAGTGCCGCAGTCAAGGCAGTACTGTCGGGGTAGGCGGTTGCGGCAGGACTTGCACATTAGGGCGCCGGCGGTCGTGCAGGAGCTGACGCAGTCCAGGATCTTGAGCACAGTGAGGTTGTCGGCCAGCTGGGAGATGCTGCTCATGCGGGAGACCCTGCTGCAGAAGGGACAGCGCACACCGTTGATGGTACTAGCCAGCAGCTTCTCCAGACACTGTCTGCACACGGTGTGGCCACATTGCAGGAGCTTGGGCCGCAGCTGCTCCTGGTTGTAAGTCTCCAGGCAGATGGGGCACTCCAGGACCTCCCGGAGCAGGTCCGGGTCCAGAGCTGGCGAAGCTGCCGCCATCGTGTTCAAACCTGAGAGGAGACAAATAAAAAAATAAAGTGCTTCACTACCCAAAGTATCAACAACTAGGGACGTCAAAGGTTCAGGCTGCGGCACAGTCAATACGGAAGCTCTAGTCTAGTGCCTGGTTACATTGTGTTTAGGAGCATTTTTTGGGTAAAAATCTGTGTGATTCATTTATCATTCTTAATTTAAATATTTTGACATTATGAATTATTTTATATTATGCCTATTTCCCTATGGTGGATAGAAAGTGTTACTACATTACACAGACTAACGTATTCACCACACAAGAATGACAGGAAATACACATCCTTTTTACCTCAGATTTATGATGTTAGTATTAAAAATGTTATAGTCATCAAGATCTCACAAAATTGATTGCTTAAATCAGATCATTATCTTTGGTTTAGTACCGGTGGTTTTTGTCAGTTTGTAGTGGGACATAGAACGCAGCTGTCATTTTCAGACCACGTAAACAATACAACAATTATTTAAACAATTATAATAAATTGGACGGTCCTCTCATAAACATCTTTGGCTCACATGAATTAATGGATTTGAGGGTTAGTCTATCATTTCAAATAAAACCCTATCCATCGCTATTTAGAAACCGATGTGAGGTGGTGATTCGTTGAAATTATCCAGTCAAAAAAGTGTTAGTGACGGGAAGTTCGGCTCTTTTTACTGACTCGGATCTTCAACCGGCGAACGATGAAAACTCGAAATAGTCATGATTCTACAAGCTTCTCATTCACCATAGGCTATTGGAGCTGTCATTTGTGACTGAGACATGTAAAAGTGTGCTTTAAACAATGGACATTTGTTGATACCTAGGCATAGAAACACGATTATTTCTTAGAACATTTGAAATGAGGTCTAGTTGTGGCCGCAACTGGACTAGATTGTGAACGACTCTTGGCGGAATGCATTGCTTGACTGCCGTGAGGGTGATAAGCACAATATCGTTTGAATTGCAGCACCCCAAACAATTTGTTCTCGAGTTCGAGTTTGTTGAGCAAAGGCTGTGTATGTTTTGATTCTACAAAGCTGTGTCCATAATAATATTCAATAATCAATTAATTGCATTCATTCTTGCACCATGCAATTAATTATCAGTTCTAAACATGTATTCTTCCTTCTCTATGCTGCCTGATCTATTTTGCCTGTGCGCATATAGCCTTTGACAGACAGTTGGTTGGAGCATGTCTACCGAGTCACCGGAGGAGCGCATATTAATCCTGCTGTAGAAATTAATGCATCCAGGAGGTCAAATGAACGACAAAGAAAAATGAATCATGACTCTCGAGTCAGTAAAAAGAGTTTGAACTGCACATCACTATCATCTACCGAAATCCTTCTCTCACAGATATAAGTTGATAAATGATTACGACAGGTTCTCATCTATCGACAGATATATTGTATATAACCAAGTTCATTGAGGTTTGTCTGTAAGAAAATTGCAAACTGTACATGTCGCTGCAGTTATTGTTCCAGTTCCATTGATTTCAATACAATATCGATGAGTGATTAATTTGCGCGCAATACTGATTACAGTAGAACAAGCTATAAATAATTTCCAGTCTTGAGTGACCGCTTGGTAAATATTGGTGTGTGCGCAGTTTATAAAAAGGTACTATCCTAATTTAGCAAAATACAGATAATCTAAACAAGTGTGACACGTAAAGGTAGTGAGTATGTATTGGTCTTTTATGTATTGGTCTTCAAAATATCACGACTTATTTCAGCATATTGATTATGAATTTGGACATCTAGAACCGGGGTTGACACTCGGCCATAAATCAAAAAGCCATGACAAGGGGAAGCATCAAGTTTCATTTTCCATGTATGTTTTAGTAAATGTAAATAGTACTTTTAAACAGGATTCTACTTTATCAGGTAAAAACTACTGAATGAGCCCAAAAGGTGCTGATTTAAAGATTGGTGATATTAGTGAAATCGTGAAAATATGTTTGTCCTGGCTACAATTACATATGTTGAGTTAAATAAAGGTTAAATAAAAATAAAATAAATGTTTAGAAGGGGTTGCATTGCTAACAACAAGTTGATTAAAGATGTTTTGTCATGAATTCTCATTAAAATGGCTTAATAAATAATTAGCATTCCTCTAGTAATGGTGGATTAAATTTTGACCACGTCATCGTGTTTACAAGTGTCTAGGGGGGAGTATTGAACTAGTCACCTCTCGAACATGGGAAGAATTCACTTTTGATGCTGGCATTTATTTGAGACAGCACAACCCAGTTAGTACTGTCACTGTGCGAAACGTATACTGTAACTCAGGGGTTCCCAAACTTTTTCCACTCAGGCCCCCCTTCTAACATTGGGGAACATCCCGTACCCCTGTGTGTGTGCCATGTCTATTTCTATGGGCACAAGCACTGTTCAAACCCCTCGTTGGCGGAGAGAATTTTGCAGGTTTAAAGCATATTTCCTGCAATTCTACACATTTTGTCATTACATTTACATTTTAGTCATTTAGCAGACGCTCTTATCCAGAGCGACTTACATGAGCAATTAGGGTTAAGTGCCTTGCTCAAGGGCACATCGGCAGATTTTTCACCTAGTCGGCTCGGGGATTAGAACCAGCGACCTTTCGGTTACTGGCACAACGCTCTTAACCACTAAGCTATCATGGGGTGCAAAGAAAATGTTGCAGTTTTACAGCTAATTTTCATTTATTCATGTGATATGAGTGACAAAAAAAATATAACAATATCTATGGGCTAAAAAACCTCAATAGAAAATGTTAGCTGACATGGGCTAGTTGATCTGGACATTTCTGACAAGTTACAAATAGCTCTCTACGGTATGCAATGACTAACATGACAAGAGGAACTGATGATGCAACTACCCAATTTCGTGCATTCTACTATTACAACTTTCAAGAGTAAGTTTAAAGCCATACTGAGTTCCTTATATACAGTGAGGGAAAAAAGTATTTGACCCCCTGCTGATTTTGTACATTTACCCACTGACAAAGAAATGATCAGTCTATAATTTTAATGGTAGGTTTATTTGAACAGTGAGAGACAGAATAACAACAAAAAAATCCAGAAAAACACATGTCAAAAATTGTATAAATTGATTTGCATTTTAATGAGGGAAATAAGTATTTGACCCCCTCTCAATCAGAAAGATTTCTGGCTCCCAGGTGTCTTTTATACAGGTAACGAGCTGAGATTAGGAGCACACTCTTAAAGGGAGTGCTCCTAATCTCAGTTTGTTACCTGTATAAAAAGACACCTGTCTACAGAAGCAAATCAATCAATCAGATTCCAAACTCTCCACCATGGCCAAGACCAAAGAGCGCTCCAAGGATGTCAGGGACAAGATTGTAGACCTACACAAGGCTGGAATGGGCTACAAGACCATCGCCAAGCAGCTTGGTGAGAAGGTGACAACAGTTGGTGCGATTATTCGCAAATGGAAGAAACACAAAATAACTGTCAATCTCCCTCGGCCTGGGGCTCCATGCAAGATCTCACCTCGTGGAGTTGCAATGATCATGAGAACGGTGAGGAATCAGCCCAGAACTACACGGGAGGATCTTGTCAATGATCTCAAGGCAGCTGGGACCATAGTTACCAAGAAAACAATTGGTAACACACTACGCCGTGAAGGACTGAAATCCTGCAGCGCCCGCAAGGTCCCCCTGCTCAAGAAAGCACATATATATGCCCATCTGAAGTTTGTCAATGAACATCTGAATGATTCAGAGGAGAACTGGGTGAAAGTGTTGTGGTCAGATGAGACCAAAATCGAGCTCTTTGGCATCAACTCAACTCGCTATGTTTGGAGGAGGAGGAATGCTGCCTATGACCCCAAGAACACCATCCCCACCGTCAAACATGGAGGTGGAAACATTATGCTTTGGGGGTGTTGTTCTGCTAAGGGGACAGGACAACTTCACCGCATCAAAGGGAAGATGGACAGGGCCATGTACCGTCAAATCTTGGGTGAGAACCTCCTTCCCTCAGCCAGGGCATTGAAAATGGGTCGTGGATGGGTATTCCAGCATGACAATGACCCAAAACACACGGCCAAGGCAACAAAGGAGTGGCTCAAGAAGAAGCACATTAATGTCCTGGAGTGGCCTAGCCAGTCTCCAGTCCTTAATCCCATAGAAAATCTGTGGAGGGAGCTGAAGGTTTGAGTTGCCAAACATCAGCCTCGAAACCTTAATGACTTGGAGAAGATCTGCAAAGAGGAGTGGGACAAAAATCCGTCTGACCTCTGTGATTGCCAACAAGGGTTTTGTCACCAAGTACAAAGTAATGTTTTGCAGAGGGGTCAAATACTTATTTCCCTCATTAAAATGCAAATCAATTGATAACATTTTTGACATGCGTTTTTCTGGATTTTTTTGTTGTTATTCTGTCTCTCACTGTTCAAATAAACCTACCATTAAAATTATAGACTGATCATTTCTTTGTCAGTGGGCAAACGTACAAAATCAGCAGGGGATCAAATACTTTTTTCCCTCACTATGTATGTATGTATGTATGTATGTATGTATGTATGTATGTATGTATGTATGTATGCATGTATGTATGTATGTATGTATGTATACACACACAATTTGGGAACCACTGATACAGTGCACTTTAGCTGGCCATATAATTTAAGTGAGGGGAGTGTAGCACTGCCACTGGCTAGCAATAGCAGCAGCCAGCTGTCATTCAACACTAGATTGCTGAAGCTAGCCAGCTTTCAAGTAAACAACATCACAGTTAACGTTAGCTAGTTACTGACAACCAATATAATAGTGTTCTGCCTAGCACCCTTAGTTTGTGTTATTGTGCTGTCAATGTGTTAGCTAAATGCTTAACTAGCTGTGTTGTTAGCATATAACGGAGATTGCTCGAATCATGCTGTCACTACACGGCCAATGCAAATGACAACCGCATTACCAGTTTCGTGCATGCAGACGACATATTTCTGAATTTGTTTTGCTATACTAGCTAGTTACATGCAAT